TGTCCCTATTTAATTTGATGTCATTGGATCTGTGATTAGAAGCCTGACAATTGCTCACCATTGCTTTTGCACTGTCACTGCCGATGGGACACAGCGAAAAAGGAAAATCCGTACCTGGGTGTGATGACTCATACATGCAGTCTCAGCAACTGAGAGGCTGAGGCAGGAAGAGTGTTGTAAGTAGACTTTTCTGTCCTGCCAGCCAGTTCTCAAATAGCCACACAGAGATTTACTATTAATTATAAATGCTCGGTCAATAGCTCAGTCTTGTTACTGTCTAACTCTTACATTTTATTTGTTTGTTTGTTTTTTGATTTTTTCAAGACAGGGTGTCACTGTGGCTTTGGAGCCTATCCTGGCACTCGCTCTGGAGACCAGGCTGACCTCGAACTCACAGAGATCCGTCTGTCTCTGCCTCTCCAGTGCTGGGATTAAAGGCGTGCACCACCAATGCCCGCTTTTTGTTTGTTTGTTTTGTTTTCTAAGACAACATTTCTCTGTGTTGCCCTGGCTGTCCTAGAACTCATTTTGTAGACGAGGCTGTCCTCAAACTCACAGGCATCCACTTGCCTCTATCTCCCTAGTGCTGGGATTAAAGGCATGTGTCATCATTATCCAGCCAACCTGGGCTATTTAGTGAATTTGAGCCTAGAAAGAACTATAGAACAAGAACAACAAAAACAAAAGTAACATTTTAGTATTACTATAAAAATTCTAGCCAGGCAGTGGTGGCACATGCCTTTAATCCAAGTACTCGGTTGGTGGAGGCAGGTGGATCACTGTGAGTTCGAGGCCAGCCTGGTCTCCAGTTCCAGGATAGCTAAGGCTACACTAAGAAACCCTGTCTCAAAAAAAAAGAAAAACAAGAAAGAAAAAAAAAAGGAAAAAAATCAAAGACAAATCTTCAACAAAAGTATTCTCAAATTAGCAATATAACTCATAGAGTGATTCAGGATGGACTTTTTAAAATGTTAGAGAAATTGTGATTTATTAGGAATTAGGAGACCTACAGACTTGACAAATAAATTACTGTCCTGCTAAATGGAGCAAAGACATAAAAAATTTTCATAACAAAGTTTCAATGACACCCGGTTGTTTCTTTAAATGTTCTTATATTTAGTCTCCTTCAAGTGTTTTCCCTGTAGAAGGCTCCTGAAGAGATGGATGTCATTAACAAGGTTTCTCACCCATTCCTGTGCATTAGTTTTTGTTACTGGGAATAAAGTTGAAGAGACTTTCTGGTTCTCACAGGTGGCGTGGCCTCCATGAAGAACTGAAATTCAGATGAGGTCTGAATCATGAATAGAAATTGGCCAAGTGAAAGGAATGGAGGAATGGGGTTGTTCTAGTTTGCTTTCTGCTGCTTTGACAAAGACTCTGACCAAGCCAGGCAGTGGTGGCTCACACCTTATATCCCAGCACTAGGGAGGCAGAGGCAGGAGGACCTCTGAGTTTGATATCAGCTTGCTCTACCGAGTGAGTTCCAGGACAGCCAGGGTGACACAGAGAAACCATGTCTAGAAAACAAGAAACAAAAAAAATTCTGACCAAAAGCAATGTAGAAGAGAAATAGATTTACTTAGCATACTCTAGTCTGTCATTGAAGAAAGTGGAGGCAGCAAGCTGAAGGCAGAGAGTAGCCTAACCTCCAACCAAGGAACTCACTTCACACTCTAAGAAGCACAGCAGGAACCCCAGAAGAAGCAGCTTGCTGACTTTATAAAGTTCAGGATCATCTGCCTAGGGGATGGTCTCTCTCACAGTGGGCTGGGCCTTTCTACATCAATTAACAATTGAGACAGTCTCCTACAGACATACCCCACAAGCCAATCTGATCTAGGTAATTTCTCAATGGAAGCTCTCCTCTCAGATGACTCTAGACTGTGTCAAGTTGGGAGAACAAACCAGAATATGTAGCTTCAAGGTAGAGTCCTTGCCTAGGCCTTGGGTTCTATCAGCATTCAGAAGGAGGGTGGGAAGGAAGGAAGGTAGAAAGAGAGGAAGAGAGGGAAGGGGGGAGAGAGAGAGAGAGGGAGAGAGAGAGAGAGAGAGAGAGAGAGGGAGGAAGAGCCTTCAAGGCAGCAGGTTGAGTTTGGAACTGTGAGGTCTGGACAGGGCTAAAGTCCTTCAAGAGAAGTCACTCTAGCTGGAGACTGGTAGGAAGGTGGCCTAGGGTGCAAGCTGAGTGGCAGCTTGAGCGGGAGGTCAAGGCAAGGGACATGAGGTGGCTCCTTTAGCCCTGGCACCATGCACACCTCTGCTTGGAATGTTTGCACCATCTTTCTTCCTCATCTAGGCTTTCACAGAAATGCCACCTGTTTTCCCAGATCTTTCTTTGTTCTTCCTATCAGAACTCCATTTGTTCTTGTAGGGCAGCGTAAGGGGAGTGTCTAGGGGTACGCACAGGCTCAGGATTGGTGTGCCTCCAGGCTTGGAGTTGTTGCCCTGTGTTGATTGGCCAACTGGTTGTTATGGCCCACAGGCCCTCCCAGGGTGGTTGCTATGTTCTGTGCGTCATTGCTGTGTGCTTGTCTGTAAAGTACACCCAGGGTCTTAAAGCATAGCGCCACCAGCTAACTTCTAATTGGTTCCTTGTCTTGACGCAGGCACCTAACCTCTAGTGACTAAGACAAGGTCATAGTGAGCATGTGTTACTGTCATGGCTGCCGAAATGGGGAGCTGGTCCCTTCACTTTCTTTTTTTTATTTGTTTTGTTTTTCGAGACTGGGTTTCTCTGTGTAGCTTTGGAACCTATCCTGGCACTCACTCTGTAGACCAGGCTGGCCTCGAACTCACAGAGATCCACTTGCCTTCATCTTTTTTTTTTTTTTTTTTTTTTGAAGCAGACTCATTGGCCTTCAATTCACAGAGATCTGCCTCCTTAGTGCTAGGGTTAAAGGTGTGTGTCACCATGTCTGACTTTAGCTTTAATCTTTAATGCACCTAGACTTTTGTTTTAAAATAACTTCAGGATACTCTTTGGAGGGAGCAGGGCTTGAGACAGGATCTAATGCAGCCCAGGCTGGTTTCTAACTCACTGTGTAGGTGATCCTTCTGCCTCAGCCTCCCAAGTGCTGGAATTACATACCTGTGCCACCACGTACAGAAGCCCAGCTAATGTCAAAACATTTTTTTTTATAAATGAAGTTGTAAAATAGTATGGTTACAAGTCATGCTTTTCGTTCCCCAGTTTTCCCTACTATTACAGATCTAGAATACAGTTGTCAAAACAGAGAACCAATTTTTTTTCCAGTTCTGGAATTAGAATCCAAGATATCACATGTCAGAGCAAGGGCTCCCTCACTGAGCTTCACTATCAGCCCCAAGTTCATGTTGAGGCAACATTAGTAACTAAACTATGGATGCTATTTGAAGTTTATTAGATTTGTTCTCTAGTAAACATTTACTCTGTTCCAAGATAAATTCCAGGATTCTACAATGCATTTCGTCTCTCTCTCTTTCTCTCTCTGTGTGTGTTTACATGAGCACACGAGTGCGTGCATGTTTGTGTGATCTATTTATGTTTTGAGTTCCATGCTGTAGCCCGGCTATCTTCAACTCCGTATGTAGTCCAGGCTGGCCCGATACTCACTTAATCCTCTTGTGCCTGCTTCCCACGTGCTGGGGTTACATATGTGAGTCACCATGCCTGGCCATATGGATGTTTAGTTTCCTATAATCTCTGACAGCTCCTCAGTTTTTCTTTGTCTTTAGTGACATTGACACTTTGAGTAGGCACTGGCCAGTTAGTTTTTGGGATGTTTATAGTTTTGGCTTGTTGGGTTTTGGGTGGAGCTAGAGGGTAGACTGGAGGTCTAACCCTTGGTCACACGCATGCCGAGCAAGAGACCATTGTGCTATAGTCCTGCATCTGTTGAATCGATAAAAACAAATTCTTATTATATAGCTTAGGTTGCCCTAAAATTCCCTCTGTAGACCAGGATGGCTTCAAAGTCCTGGTGATCTTCCTGCTTCTGCCTGCCAAGTGAATTCCACTTCAGGTATGTACCACAATGCCTGTCCTAAAACTTTCTGCAATATAAACTTCAAAAAGAAACTTTTTTTTTTTTGGTTTATCGAGACAGGGTTTCTCTGTGTAGCTTTGGAACTTATCTTGGCACTTGCTCTGGAGACCAGGCTGGCCTCCAACTCACAGAGATCCGCCTGCCTCTGTCTCTGCCTCCCGAGGGCTGGGATTAAAGGCATGCGCCACCAACGCCCGGCTAAAAAGAAACTTTTTTATTTTATTTATTTTATGCATCTAAGTGCTTGTCTGCATGTCTGGGCACCAAGTGTGTGCCTGGTGGAGGTCCAAAGGGGGCATCAGATCCCCTGGAACAGGTGTTATACCGTGTACATCCACCACAGACATACAGCACACACACAGAGGTCAGGTGACAACTAGTACAACTCAGTTCTCTACTTCCTCCATGTAGGGCCTGGGGATCCAATCAGGCCACCAGACTTGGCGCCAGGTGCCTCTACCCACTGAATCATCTCCTAGGCTGCTAACCTTATTTATGCAGGTTCTGCCTCTCTCTTAATCCTTGGGATTAAATTCCTACATGGGGGCTGGAGAAATGGATCAGTGGACAAGAGCACTGGCTGTTCCTCCAGGGGTCCGGAGTTCAATTCCCAGGAATTACATGGTAGCTCACAACCACCTGTAGTGGGATCTGATTCTCTCTTCTGGTGTGTGTGAAGACAGGTCACTCGTATACATATTAAGAAAATTCAACATGGCCGGGCACTGGTGGCGCACGCCTGGGAGGCAGAGGCAGGCGGATCTCTGTGAGTTAAAGACCAGCCTGGTCTACAAGAGCGAGTTCCAGGACAGCCTCCAAAGCCACAGAGAAACCCTGTCTAAAAAAAAAAAAATTCAACATGAATTCTAGAGAGTACTCCAACATTCCAACGGTAGCAAGGAGCCTTGGAATTGATGAGGTAATGGAGTCCCTCATTGGTTCTTTATTAACCAGAGTCTTTGCATGCTCTTCCAGGCACACACAGCACCCCATGATCAGGTGACCCTTCTAGCCCACAGCAATGGAGCAAAACGAATCCTTTCGTGTGGATTCTGAGTTTCGATACACCCTCTTTCCGACTGTTTACAGCGTCATCTTTATCCTGGGGGTGGTTGCCAATGGCTATGTGCTGTGGGTCTTTGCCCGCCTGTACCCTTCCAAGAAACTGAACGAGATAAAGATCTTCATGGTGAACCTCACCGTGGCGGACCTGCTGTTCCTTATCACCCTCCCGCTGTGGATCGTCTACTATTACAATGAGGGAAACTGGATTCTACCCAAATTCCTGTGCAACCTGGCTGGCTGCCTCTTCTTCATCAATACCTACTGTAGTGTGGCCTTCCTGGGTGTCATCACTTACAACCGCTACCAGGCAGTGGCCTATCCCATCAAGACTGCTCAGGCCACCACCCGCAAGCGTGGCATCTCTCTGTCCCTGGTCATCTGGATATCCATCGTGGCTACTGCCTCCTACTTCCTGGCCACAGACTCCACCAACCTAGTACGCAAAAAGGATGGCTCGGGCAACATCACTCGCTGCTTTGAACATTACGAGCCTCGCAGCGTGCCGATCCTCGTTGTTCACGTCTTCATCGCGTTCTGCTTCTTCCTGGTCTTCTTTCTTATCCTCTACTGCAACCTGGTCATCATCCACACGCTGCTCACGAGGCCCATGCGGCAGCAGCGCAAACCTGAAGTGAAGCGCCGGGCGCTATGGATGGTCTGCACCGTCTTGGCGGTGTTTGTCATTTGCTTTGTGCCGCATCACGTGGTCCAGCTGCCCTGGACTCTAGCAGAACTGGGCTACCAGACCAACTTCCACCAGGCTATTAATGATGCCCATCAGATCACCCTCTGCCTCCTCAGCACCAACTGTGTCTTAGACCCTGTAATCTACTGTTTTCTTACCAAGAAGTTCCGAAAGCACCTCAGCGAAAAGTTTTACAACATGCGCAGTAGCCGGAAGTGCTCCAGGGCCACTACTGACACGGGCACCGAGGTGATGATGCCGGCTGACCAGACTCCTGTCATGTCACTAAAAAACTAATCTCTGTCTCAGTGAAGTCAGATCCGGGGTCTCCTCTTCCGTGGACCTCACAGACTGAGCTGGGAGGTGAGGGGTCTCTGATTGTGGCCAACCCCTCCTGGGACCCTGGTGGACTATTAGGCCTGCCAGTTACTTTTCTCACGGACACAAGACTGACGGCACTGGCAGCTTGTTGGAAAATACCGAACTTGAATGCTCCTTTTCTCCCATCTTTGGGTTAATAACTAGCGACTCTGGCTGATAGGCTCATCTAAAGCTTCAGAATCTGACATCGCAGCTAGGGTCAAACCTTGGGCTTAGACTCTGAGCCACCCAGTTCATCCAACTGGGGCCGCAGCCTTCAGAATGGGGCAGTGACTTCTGGGGGCGACAGCAGGGGACGGGGATTATGAGGAAAGGACTCTTCATGGTCCTGTGCAAGACCTCTGCGGGGAACAGTTGGGTTTAGACGGTGCCCTCCTCTCTCCACCCATGTGCCACTTCCTAGAGGCAGTGGCTTGGTGGAAGCGTTTGACTGACTCAGTAACTTGTCTCAAATGTAACCAGATGATAAATTAGGAAAGCTGACCAGAAGCTGGGATGGGAGCATATGTCCTGAGGCAGCTGAGCTTCTTTCTGCCCAGGCTTCAGAGTGCTGAGAGACTGGAATAGAGATGGCTCCCTCAGGACACTGCAATTTCAACTTCCCAACTTGTGGCAGCAGCAGCCGTTTTTTGATGACCTTGGACTCCTGCTAGTGATTTTTGACGAGTGTCGTATTTCACTCAATGTGCCCAGCCTCCCTGTCAGAAACAACTCAAGGAAGGAGAGATTTATTTGGTTCACAGTTTCAGAAGACTTTAGTCCAAGCTGGGTGTTGGTGGCACCTTTAATCCCAGCACTCGGGAGGCAGAGGCAGGCGGATCTCTGTGAGTTCGAGGGCAGCGTGGTCTCCAGAGCGAGTGCCAGGATAGGCTCCAAAGCTACACAGAGAAACCCTGTCTCGAAAAACAAAAAAAGAAAGAAAGAAAGAAAGAAAGAAAGAAAGAAAGAAAGAAAGAAAGACAGACTTCAGACCATCACAGGAATTAAGGCACCGCAGGGCAGCTCAGACTATGGCAGCAGGAACAGGAAGCAGAGGTTGTTCACGTGGCAGTGAGCCAGGAAGTGAGAGCACTTTAAACTGGGGGGTGGGGTACAACCCCCCCCCCACTTCTATAGCCAGGTCCTACCTCCTAACGGTTCCACAGGCTCCTGAAATAACACCGTTAGTGGGAGAATGAACATACAGAACATGACCCTGGGCCAGTGAGATCAGGTAAAGGCAGTTGCTGCTAACACAGATGATCAGGGTTCCGTCCCAGAACCCACAAGCTGAAAAGAGAACAGATTTCTGCAAGCTGTCCTCTTTATGCACGCTATGGCACACACATGCGACGCCTGCCCCATACACACATAAATAAACGTACAAAGTCAGTACAACAAAGCAAACAAACATGACCAATGGAGATGCAGGGTATTTTAGAATAAAAATTCATCAACTATTACATTCAAGAGAGGTCCTCTTCTACCCTCTGAGCAGTGTCTAGAAACCTCAGACTCAGAACTCTGAGGAACTTTTCCTGGTTTCCTGAGCCTTGTGCTCCTTAAAAAAAAAGTTATAAATAAAATAAAATAAATGTCTTTCCTTCCAGCTAGTGTCCCCTTGAAGTTGGGTCAGCAGCTGATTCCTGTCTGCCAGACAAGCATAGGTTGGTATCCTGCTCGCAGGTTTGGGGTGATGGCTATGGGCTGTACCTAGCTGAAGGTGAGTAGGTAGCTAAAGCAACACACTTGAACTTCGGCATCTTACAAACTCAGGTTCAAGTCTCACCCATGCTGGGTGCTGTCTAGAAAGTGAGAATTAGATTTCCTACCTCTTGGTGTTATTAGCCGGTAGGTACAACCTACCTCAGGGGTCGTGATGAGCAGGCCTACTCAGCTGACTCTTGGCTACTCATCCTGATCCTCCCCGCAATCCCCTGATAGGAAGTGAAGGGGTGAGAGTTGGACATCTGGATTCCGGATGCTGTTTGGGGCTTTGCAGACGACTTACTGACGTCATTTAAACTCCAGAACTCCAGAGCCGTGGCCATGTCTAAGTGTAACCTGAGTGGGCTGAGTGGCCATCTGGGGAGACAAATGGCTTTTCAATGAAAGCAGATGTAGCAGACAAAGCAAAGGCCAGAGAGAAACCACGAGCACTGGTTCTCAACCTTCCCAATGCCGAGACCCTTTAATACAGTTCCTCCTGTTGTGGTGATCCTCAACCGTGAAATGATTTTTGTCGCTACTTCATAACTGTAATTTTGCTACTGTTACGAATTGTAACGGAAATATTTTTGGAGGTAGAGGTTTTCCAAAGTGCTCTGGACCCAAAGGTTGAGAATCACGGCAGTAGAGCCTGGAGAGAGAAGACACAGCCTCCAGGAGCCAGAGGGCATTCCTGCAAGCTTTCCCTTGAGTCCCGTGGTTCGCTTGGCAGGATTCCTTTTCTTTTTTAAGCTCATTCAAATGGGTGTCTAGTACCTTCAATCAAACAACCTTCTCTATGTTTCTACGCTAGTACAGCATATTCTGGGTTTTATTCATTTGCATATCCTCCTGTCATTGTTTTGCAATATCCATGTACCACAGTATGTTTACTTAATAAACATTTTTTTGTTGTTTTTAAATTGGGTCATTTTTAAAAACTTACATTGCTACCTTACAGTCACCCCTATAGATTAGGTATTTTCCTGCCCATTTTACAGGTGGGAAAAAGGAGGCTCAGAGGGGCTGAATCAAGGTAAAAGAGTAAGTGGCATTGCTCATTAATATTCAAAGCTAGAGCCCTCAGTAAGCACAGGCTCCCTTCCATGCCCCCTCTGCCATGTAACTGTACCCACATGCTACCTCTTACAGGCATGCTGTATGTGCTGGGGCAGGAGCTGGGACAGGTCTCCACTCTGATGTTGGAGGCCTCCTGTGCAGTTCATGCAGCCTGAAGCCCCCTGGGGACTCTTCCCAGACATAGGTACCTATGATCAGGGACTTTGGACATTGGGTGAGAGTCACGGAGACATGCTTCTAAGAACCCCAGGAGCCAGAGCAACATTGCTGCTGGAGCCAGGAGGAGCATTTACTAGTCGTGAGACTGAATTCACTCGTCTGCTTGAAGAGCTCTAGAACCCCCTGGAAACATGTAAGAATCTCTAGGCTGTATACCCAGAAGCAGTGTTGCCGGGTCATCCCAAGCCACACTTAGATCTAGTTTGATGAAGAACTGCCAACTTACTCCTGAAGTAGCTACCACACTCCACACTCTCACCCATAGCTTTATGAAGGATTCTGTTGTTTGTTTTGTTTGGATGAAGGGTCTTACCTCGTAGCCCTAGCTGTTCTGGAACTCACTCTGTAGACCAGGCTGGCCTTGTACTCACAGAGATCTGCCTGCCTCTGCCTTCTGAGTGCTGGGACTAAAGATGTGCATCACTATACTCCTGCCTATATTTTATTAACCTCTATTAATTAAACACATTTTCATACACATGTGTAATGTACTTGGAACATATATCCCCTCCCTCTTTTGCTCCCCACTGCCCTCCCCCAGCTCCTGCTGGTGCCTCTCTGGTCCCCTTCCTCTTCTTAACTGGCTCTACTTCCACTTTCCGTCTCTGTCTGGTGTGTGACCTAGAGTTTCATAAGGGTTGTTTACTGGAGCATGGACGCTTTACCTGTCCTTCACCAGTGAAGATGTCTGTTCCTCTCCCATCAACAGTTAACTGCGAATCCTCAGGGAGCACTGGGGTCCCAGGAGCCCCTCCCCCCCAGGGGTTCTGTTTCCCCAAGCCACCCTGTATCGGTATTGTCCAACTCTCATGCCCCAGAGTGTGTAGTCGAATCTTGATTTTAGTTTGAGCTTCTTGGGTTACTAAGGGACTGCTTTCTGGGACGTATTACTCATTTGTATTTAGAGTCAAATCATTCGGACTCCAAAGCTTGTACCATGTCACAGAGTGATTGATCAATAAAGAGGCCCCTAGGACCCGTGGCCAGGGCTCCTTTCTGTACCTGCTAGTCTGTGATTTTGGACACACTACGAACCTCTCTGGGTTTATTTCCCTAAGTGGGAATACTGGCCAGGTGTGGTGGCTCACACTTGCAATCCTAGAACTTGAGAGGCTGAGGCAGGAAGATTGCTACAACTTCAAGACCACTCTGTATAGGTTAAGCATCGGGCCATCTAAGGTTGCATAGTAAAATTTTGTTTAATTTAAAAAAATATTTTATAATTTTGAGACAGGGTCTTTTCCATGCCTGGATGTCCTGGAACTAGCTCTGTAGATCAGGCTGGCCCTCGAATTCACAGAGATCCACCTGCCTCTGCCTCCCAGGTACAGGTGTTAACTACCACTACCCAGATCTAAAAATATTTCTTTTAAAGAATGCATATATTGTCGATATAATAGACCATTTTGTGGGTTTAGAGTTGCTTAGAACAGTCCCTGGCACAGAATAAATGTCACAAATGTTGCCTCTGTCCTAATAGATCGTCTCTACTCCATAGAGCCCTCTATTTACAAGACTGCACGACACCAGCTCTATACCCCTTATGACCAGGTTCTCATTGTGTAACCTAGTATTTTCCTTACAAATGGGAAAGTGCAGAGAGGAACTGGGCGTAACCAGCCAAGTTTTCCTTTGCTTTTACTTCTAGGGTATTCTACAGTTCAATACAGAGTGTTGCCAGAGCCATCACACACATGAGTCACGAGATTTCATTCTTTGGATGGTCATGAGGAATTAGTTCCTTTCCTTTCTTTTCTTTTTTCTTTTCTTTTTTCTTTTTTCCGAGACAGGGCTTCCCTGTGGCTTTGGAGGCTGTCCTGGAACTAGTTCTTGTAGAACAGGCTAGACTCGAACTCACAGAGATCCACCTGCCTCTGCCTCCCAAGTGCTGGGATTAAAGGTGTGCGCCACCACCGCCCGGCTTCTTCTTTTTTTTTTTTGCCAGGTGTTTGTGGCGCACACTTTTTTTTAAATTTTTACTTATTTATTATGTATACAACATTCTGCTTCCATGTATATCTGCACACCACAAGTGGGCACCAGATCTCATTAAAGATGGTTGTGAGCCACCATGTGGTTGCTGGGAATTGAACTCAGGACCTCTGGAAGAGCAGTCAGTGCTCTTAACCTCTGAGCCATCTCACCAGCCCAGGCCTGGCTTTCTTGAAACTCACTTTTAGACCAGGCTGACCTTGAACTCACAGAGATGCCCTGTTTCTGCCTCCCGAGTGCTGGGATTAGAGGCATGCGCCACGACTGCCCTGCTTGAGTTGGTTTCTTTAAATGGAGACAGAACATCAGAGCAAACAGGCAATGCTTGAAATGGGGAAAATGCTTGCAAACAGTGTGCATTGTAAAGGGTTGACAATATGCAAAAATCCCCTATAACCCAATAACAAGAAACAAAATTTGATTGAAAAAGTAGATAAGTAACTCTAATATACACTTCTCTGAAGGCAACTGGCCGATAAGCACTTGAAAACATGACCAGAAAATATTAAGTGGTGGTGAGAATGTGGAGAAATCAGACTTGTTTTTTTTTTTTTTTTTTTTTTTTTTTTTTTTTTTTTGCCCAGGTAGCTGGTACTGACCTTGAATTCACGATATAGGTGAGGATGACTTTGAACTCCTGCTCCTTTGGCCTCAATTACAGGCAGACACCAACAGGTCTAGTTTATGCAGTGCCAGAGACCTAATCTTGGCTTGAGCATGCTAGCTAAGCACTCTACCAAACTGAGCTACATCTTCAGCCCCCCAAATTAGAATTCTTGTGTATTGCTCACGGGGATGTAAAATGATGTAGCTGTTGTAGAAAATGTTATGATTGTTTCTCAAACAATTGAT